GCACCCCAGGAGACCATTGGCCTTCTTGGCCACAAGGGCACACTGCTGGCTCATGTTTAACTTGTTATCCACCAGCACTCCCAGGTCCCTCTCTGCAGAGCTACTTTCCAACAGGTCAGTCCCCAGCCTGTACTGGTGCATGGGATTATTCCTGCCTAGGTGCAGGACCTTGCACTTGCCTTTGTTGAACTTCATGAGGTTCCTCTCCGCCCACCTCTCCAGCCTGTCAAGGGCCCTCTGAAGGGCAGCACAGTCTTCTGGTGTGTCAGCCTCTCCTCCCAGTTTCGTATCATCAGCAAACTTGCTGAGGGTGCACTCTGTCCCTTCCTCCAGGTCATTGATGAATATATTGAACAAGACTGGACCCAGGACTGACCCCTGGGGGACACCACTAGCCACAGGCCTCCAACTAGACTCTGCGCCATTCACCACAACCCTCTGAGCTCGGCCATCCAGCCAGTTCTCAAGCCACCTCACCGTCCACTCACCTAGCCCACAACTACTTGTGCTTATAACACAGTGGGATGATGCAAAATGTGCTAAGATGAGTGAAGAATTTGTTCAGAAGGCTCTAGAAGGGAAACCAAAACTCAGAGTGAAATGATGAAAAGGGAGGCCAGCTGCAGGTGGATGCTGAGGTGGCTGCATTTAGTCTGTGCCTTATGGAAGACATATACGGCTCTAGAAGGTCAAGCTGTAAGAAAGCTACAAGAGTCAGGACAGGAGATTATGAGAGCCTATAAATAAGTTATGATCCAAGAACTACCTAATAGGATGTGAAGGGTGAAGTGAGGACTTGATTCCAATTCAGTTGGAAAACTTTAAGATTGCAGTAATAACTCCAAAATCCACTTAAGAACTAAAGTGCAAATGAAGCAATATATTATTCGTTTCCCTCTTTTCTGTATTTCTCTTTTCTCCCAGCGTGTTGCCAGTGTTTGCACGTTCTCTTTCAATGTACCCTTCTCTGTCCACAATGATGCTTCTGTTTCCATCCTCTTACTTCCTCCCTAATTTTCTCAGGCTCTTTCCTTCCTCCTGCTTTTTCTAGCTCCCTGTCATTAATGTTTATCTTTTTTAAAAAATATTTTCACTATTCCCTCACTTAGTCCCATGTCCTTTTTCATGAACTCAATTCTAGTGACTGTTTACAGCTTAAAACCGTATGTTAAATTCACCACTGACTACTCTTGTTTTTAAATGCAACTCTTCTGATTTGAGCAGCCAGCAGCATTTCATTGGCACAACACTGAAATAACATGGAGAGGGAAGGGAAACGGACTCCCACATTTACAACAGTTAAAATCACAGATTCAGTAAGTCTCAAAAGGAGCTGAAATTCTGCAACTAGTTCCTGCATTGTGCCCTTATGCATCTGGCAGTCTCTCCCCTCTCAGTTGCACTTCTGGCCCATGGGCTCAAGGAGTAGAACGAAAGCTGTAGCTTGCAGGCAGGAGGACATGTATGAGATGCAAGAGGCATCTCACAAGTCACTGGCTCTGCTTACCGGCTGTGCCAAATCTTCCCACCACACGTAGCAGGCTGCGGCACTTCCCTGGAGTCAGGGAGTAAATCAGGACACCCTTGACTGTGAGCTAGGCCGCCAAATGTTTGAGTTTTACCCAGACCCGTCGCCCTCAAAATCTTGTCTGGGTGAATGTCTGACATATGAAAGCCCTTTGATAATGAAACTTTAGGGCCAGCTGTACTTTATTGCCCTGATGCATTGGAATGATGGTTTTCTCAGTGGCTGATACACACCAAAGAGGTCATATCTTCTGTGTTTGGCAGCACAGAACTTAATCCTGATCCTAACCACTTTCTGTTGAAATTTTCATACGGCCAAAATACTAAGAGTTGATGGGAGTAGTTAATAAAGAGGAAGATGACAATGGTCCCACTGTAAACGGGGGGTGGGTATATTGCTGGGCCCAAGGGTGACACCAGTCTAGTATTTGGATTATGCAATAGCTCCTGCACTGCCACAACTCTGCTTCCGGTTGTATCATGTGGCCCTGGGGCAGGATCTACTCTTGAACTACCCTTAAGCTAAAGGCAGATCCATGGCCAAGACTGGTCAATCTGATCTAACATTTTCATGGATGGTCTGAGCGATGAAAGCATTAAAATGACTATGCATGCACCACACGGTCACAGTACACTATGAGCATTAAGAAATGTTAGACAGCTGCCCCAGATGTGGAGTCTGCCTACAGCACAGTGACTAGCTCTATCTGGTGCAATGGGTCACGCAGCAACAAGTGGCTGCTATGTAGCTGAGGTCTATGCTGTGCATCCACAAGAAGGGGGTAAACTCTTGAAAAATGTTAAACACAGTCAGCAAAATACATCAGGTTATATTTTGTATCTATATAGGCAGCCTTAGCAGCATTCTATTGCCACTTTTTTTTTCCTGGTTGCATTGCTTCATTTTTTACCTAGTTTCTTGGGATTTTTAGCACCACTGCTGTAAGGCGTGTGTGTCAATACACATTCTTACGTAGTACCTGCTGCTGATAAATATAATTTATAGATAAATGCTTCCCCTCGAAAAAGGGATGATTTCTTCATCTCCGTTTGTTATGATTGTTTTCACCAACTGTTGTAATATTTTTAAAGCATCTTTGTTTTGATCCAAATATTGGCATAGACGTAACATTGTCAAAATCATGGCTTAATTAGGCACCCCATTTTCAAAGGAGCTGCCTAAATTTAACTGAGGTCAGTGAAACTTCTCACTGGCCCCAGTCAATTAGCATCAGTGATGGTGAGAAGTATCAGTTCCCTAGAAAATTAAGGCTCCATCAAAATCATCTAGATTTATCATTAGTTAAAAATGCCGATGGTAATTTTAATGCTTTCTTTTGAGTCCTGAAAAGCAACATAAATGAGACATTTGCAGAACTAATAGTCAGTACATAGTGAACACTAGACTGCTGTCTATCAGTTTATTATTTTATTAATAATTACCACATGCAAAATTAGACTTAAAAATCTATCTCTAAATTTGTAGTTTTATCTTGGGATTGATAACTGATTTACAAAAGGTCTGTAGCATACCATCAGTGTAAAAGCCTCCTTTGCCCTGAGCTCAGTAAGATTATTTTTAAACCCTTGAGAGTTTTTGTTGGTTAGCTGTGAGAGAGTGTGGGAGGATAGGACCAAGTGTGCAATTTTGGAGAATGCAGCTGCCATTAGTTAAGCACAGAGCATGAATTAAAATGTCTGTGCTGCTGAAAATGTTCAGAGCCTTTAAAAAATGCCTCTATTTTATACTAGTCAATTTAAATATATTATTTTTGATTTTTTTTTGCAATTTTTCATCACAGAAAATCAGGATGTTTTATGCTTTTTATGTTTTTATGCTGTTGGATTATGTTAAATATTTTTCGTGTGTGTGTGTGTATTCCATATAAAACCTATCTTCAGAGTACATGGGGATTGCAAAAACAGCCAAAGTTAAATATGTCTGCACATCCTCTTCCATATTCATTACATGCAGGCTTTATGAACAAATACTTTCATGCTACTGTCTATAGGATATTTTAAACCTGTTTTCACTAGAAAAAAAACTTTCCTGTTATAAAGGGATGACCATGGCAGCAATCCATCCTAAAATAAGTTTTTGACATTTTAAAAACAGTAAAATTTTTCAAGTTGAGTATGCTATCAGCTGTTTGTTGTCTCCTCTTTGCTGGAGGTTGTCACCATCCCTGTTCTGCTGATATGGAGATGCTTCCCTTCTCCATTTGCTCGGAGCATGACCAGTGGATTCAGTCCACACAGGGCTCTAGTTTCAGGATATCCAGCTGGATCAGGAGTGGCACGATTTCTTTTACACCTGCAAGGCTGTGGAAGGTGTCAGGCAAACAATGAACAGCTTGGGGACAATAACATCTCAAAACCCAGTACAGCCCACCTTGGAAGAAGGTGATTGTCCACAGCCTTGCTTACATTAGCAAAATGGTATTTCTGCTGACATAGCTGCTGCCAATTTCCAGAACTGATGTAAGAAGCATAGCGCTTGGACCTCTGCTTTTTTTTCCAGTCTTTTTGACTTCATCCATCATTGGAGCCTTTGCCTGTATAAAACAAAAATGACAGTGAAATATCAAGAGATTTTAGATCTAGTTGTGACGTTAGACCTTTTGCCTTGAAGAGCATCCAGAATTTTGAAAACCGTTACCAAATGGATCACAGGTCGGCATTTAATAGTAACATAGGTCTGCATTTAATAGTAAATCATTTTAAAAAAGGGGAATCGACTTCTGAGTCAAAGCCCATGATGTATTTCTGGTACTTACTTAACTCTACTAACTGACTCTTACTAATTGACTGCTGGAGTAGTCAGCATGGATTTGCCAAAGGGAAATCATCCTTGACCAATCTGATAGCCTTCTATAACAGCACGACTGGCTGGGTAGATGAGGGGACAGCAGTGGATGTTGTCTACCTCGACTTCAGCAAGGCTTCTGACACTGTCTCCCATCACATCCTCCTAGGTAAGCTCAGGAAGTGTGGGCTAGACGAGTGGACAGCGAGGTGGCTTGAGAACTGGCTGGAGTGCACCCAGAGTGCACCCTCAGCAAGTTTGCTGATGATACTAAACTGGGGAGAGAGGCTAACACCCCAGAAGACTGTGCTGCCATTCAGAGGGACCTGGACAGGCTGGAGAGGTGGGCGGAGAGGAACCTCATGAAGTTCAACAAAGGCAAGTGCAAGGTCCTGCACCTAGGCAGGAATAATCCCATGCACCAGTACAGGCTGGGGACTGACCTGTTGGAAAGTAGCTCGGCCGAGAAGGACCTGGGAGTGCTGGTGGACAACAAGTTAAACATGAGCCAGCAGTGTGCCCTTGTGGCCAAGAAGGTCAACGGTCTCCTGGGGTGCATTAGGCAGAGTGTTGCCAGCAGGTGGAGGGAGGTGATCCTGCCCCTCTACTCAGCCCTGGGGAGGCCTCACCTGGAGTACTGTGTCCAGTGCTGGGCTCCCCAGTACAAGAGAGACATGGCACTCCTGGAGAGAGTCCAGCGGAGGGCTACCAAGATGATTAGAGGGCTGGAGCATCTCTCCTATGAAGAAAGACTGCAAGAGCTGGGCCTGTTCAGCCTGGAGAAGAGAAGATTGAGAGGGGATCTCATCAACGTGTACAAGTATCTGAAGGGGGAGTGTCAAGAGGATGAGGCCAGCCTCTTCTCCGTGGTGCCCAGCAACAGAACAAGAGGC